ATATTGATGAAGGCATCTCAATGAATGGAGTCAAGCTCAATAACCTGCAGTATGCAGATAATACAATAGTGTTTTCCAATACCATAGAAGGGCTGTAAAATATAATGAACAAATTAACGGAAACAAGTAAAAAATATGTACTGGATATAAACACCAGCAAAACCAAGCTAATGACTACCTGCAAGAAAAACATAACTAAAGCAAGTCTGTATGTGAACTAAATAAAAATTGAACATATCTATACATCTAACTATAATCAATGAGTCGTGGTACAGTACCCATGAGATCAAATGTCGCATCGGAAAGACAAAAAGTGCATTCCTGACTATGAGTTCTGTGTTCAAAAGATATGACCTTATGCTAGAAACAAAAATAAGGCTCCTTAAATGTTATGTGTACTCAGTGCTACTGTATGGAGTAAAAACGTAGACATTGAAGGCGGAAACTCTATCAAAACTTCAGGCTTTTGAGCTATGGTCATACAGAAGGGTCCTGAAGATGCCATGGATAGACAAAGTCAGCAATGAAAAAGTACCGCGGAGGATGAACATAACTGCGGATTTGGTCAACATCGTGAAGATCCTTAAGCTGCAGTACCTGGGACATTTAATGAGAAATCAAGGCAGATACGAGCTACTTCAATTTATTTTTCAAGGTAAAATTAAAGTAAAAAGGGCTTTAGGATGGAGAAGAATATCCTGACTTGCTAACTTTAGAGCATAGTATAGAAAGACCTCAACACAGCTATTTCGTATAGCAACCAACAAAGTCATCATACTAAGAATGATCGCCAACGTTCGAAACGGACAGGCATCCTAAGAAGAATTTAAATCGGACCTACAGGGTGGGCCGTTGAGTAATGTGTTTTTATTTTATTTTTTTAATTAACTTGCCTGACCCCAGAAAAGTTGTATAATAAGATAACTTATATCACAGTGTTTTTTTTAATAATTAATTTAATTTTTTTCCACTGCCACAGAGCTATATAAGAACGAGATTTTTACGAAAAAATCCAATCATTTAATATTATGTCAAATTCGTTTTTTTTTTAAATTTATTATGGTTGCCTGAGTCAAAAAAAGTGTTTTATACGATAAATTTGATCATAGTATTTTGTTCGACAACTAATTTTTTTCTACTGCCACAGCGCTGTATAAAATAAAGAATTTTTCAAAAAAAATGTATTGTATGGTAGATTTAATTTTTTTGCATACAAAAAATTAATTTATACTAAAGCTAAATTTGTTTTGAACACAGAATACAAAAATACAAATACAAAAATAGTTTATCTATAAATATATAACGATATATAAATATATAACGATATAAAAATAGAATGTCTTTCAAAAGTAACAATCACATTCTTTAAAAAAAAAAAGTCTTTCTTTGATTCATATTTCGGAATATTTTCCCTTGATTTCAGCCTGTTCCTTATATAACCGTCTCTTTTTTCACTTCCACAGACAGAAGCTGAACCTTCTGTTACTATTTTGGCGGCCCTCTCAACCGCTTGTGTGTGACAAGGGTATGATTTTACGTATGCCAAAAGACTGGTTTCAGGATTTTCAACAACTTCCCTTAGTTGGTCTTTTGATAGCTTCATAGTTACAGGAGGCTCTGTCCATAAAACTTTTTGGCAGTCGATAATCTCAAAGTAATCCTTACTGCCAAAAAATAATTCTGGTACTACGAAATGTCGCTGATCATTGTAATTTACCTGTCTGCTCTTCAAAATTCTTTGGAACCCCAATTGTCTTATGTGTTTACGTTCGTCAAACAACATAGCCAAAATAATATTTTCTGGGCTCCCAAAGTATCCATTTCTTTGAATACATTTATAGACTATGTCTTTCAATTCTGGTAGTAAATAGTCGCAGAGTCGTATTGTCTTGAATAGATGCCTTGCACCATAAATGCATGACGGGTGAGTCTTAATACAAAATCACATGGGTGCATACACTTTCATTACAAAATGGCTTAGTATTTGTAAATTTTCCGATGGGTTTCTGGTTGCTACATATAACCGAAGGATACGGGAAGCAGTGGTAAGCCACCGAGAATGAACCATTTTTCCAGGCTGTCTCTTAGAAAGTTTTTCTGAACAAGCACCACTTTTTACTGCTTGACAAATATCGTATAGGTATTTTTGATCTGTATTTTGAATATTAACTTTAGTTATATTATAAGTATAGTTTAGTTATAATATAATATTAACTTTAATATTAACTTAGTTTATACTAAGACTAACGTCTACTTTATTGTTATTGGGGAATTTCGGCACACTCTTTGAAGTAGGTTCCTAAAATAAATTTTTGTCTACTTATTAGTTAGTGGAAAAATACGCAAATAAAGTTTACTATACGTTATAAAGTATGCATCAAACCGCCAGAACAATACAGTTTTTTTTTCAATTTTTTTAAGTTACAAAATAAATAACCCTGATGTTTCAAAAATTATATAATAAAAAAATATGAAGATCTGCTTTTGAAATAATTATTATTTTTTATTTTTTCCACTGCCACAATGACCTTTTATATTAAAAAAATATAAAGTCTTTGTGGCAGTGGAAAAAAATATTTTTAGCTACTCATTTTGGACTTAAAATTTGTGTTATAGTATAACTCAACTTTTTTGACCACAGGCGTTGTTATTTTCCAGAAAAAAATTTGTCGGCCCACCCTACAGTACCCATAACCTCAAAATTAAAATTTTTGACCAAACTGTGTTGCCCGTAATTACTTATAAAGCGGAAACGTTAACACTTACAAAAACGTAGGCAACAAGATTCGAGGGACTCAAAGAGCTATGGAACGCCAAACGTTGGTTATCTCTCTGAGAAACCGAATCCCAAACCAAGAAATATGTCGTAGAACAAAAACAACAGACGTTAACGGAAAAATGGCGTCGCTAAAAGAAAATTGGACAGAACATGTCGCCAAATTAGGACTACCCATGAACAAAACGTATTGTGGAGTGGTGAACAAGGCGATAAGCAATACAGAGCAGAGGACGCCCACTAACTAGATTGGCTGACGACCTAAAACGTGTTAGCATTACTGGATGCAAGACAGAGACAGGTAAAAAAACTGAGGGAGATCTATGTCCAGCAGTGGACGCTTATGGGTAGACGACGATGATGATGTACTTTGTAGACAACTTTTGCTGATGATATTGGATTCGTCGATGGTTTCGTAAAATTTATTTTTAAATATTGTATCATAAGCTTATTTATAAATAATGAACAGACGGCAGGTGTTAAAATAAATTTACCTTTTTTTCTAATACAGATATTAGTATAGAAATATGATTTCTTTTCTCAACCAGTCTAAAGATATTAAGCTATATTCTAACATTTCTATGGGACACAAATAAGCTTCTTCGAATATTTATTTAGCGGTGTTATTATATTTATGATTTCTTTAATGGACGTTTCTAGGAATTATTCATCGTTCCCAGCTATGATTAGTAATTTGTTAAATGTTATACCTCGTCTCTCGTGGAGGTTCCAAAAATAGATTATAGCTGGCTGTTTGACGTAGTCAATTTTGGATGTCTGCTTTAGTTGAAATCATCATCATCATCATCATTGGCTTTTACAACTCTTCGTGAGTTTTTGCCGCGTTTACTATTGCCTTCCATTGATTCCGATCCTGTGCTATTATTTCCTATGGCCTTACTTCTATCTTCTCCAGGTCTTCCCTGACAGCGTCTTTCCACCTTTTTCTAGGCCTTCCTGTCGATCTTTTACCATCTGGTCTTTCCCAAAACACATTGCTAATCAGTCTGTCGTCATCACTCCGTACCACGTGGCCTGTCCATCTTAATCTATTGGCTTTTATGTATCTTACGATGTTTCCTTTCCCGAAGAGAGTCTCTATTTCATTGTTGTATCTGCTCCTCCATTCATTTGTCACGCTGTCCCTGCAAGAACCATATATAATTCGCAGGATTTTGCGTTCCCATACTAATAGCTTATTGATTTCTTTCTTTTTCAATGTCCATGTTTCACTTCCATATGTCACTGCTGGTCGTATTATGGATTTGCACATTTGGATTTTGGCACGCCTTGAGAGAAGCTTTGACCTCATTAGATATTGAATGGCAAAGAATTATTTATTCCCCGCCAGTATTCGTATTTCAACCTCCCGTTCTCCTGTAATTGTTGCTTCTAGGTATTTGAATTCTTTGACCACCTCAAACTTTAGTTGAGATCCGTCGTTTAAAATATTTAACTCATCTACTTATTTTTCTTTTATATTGACTTTAAATTTGTTTTTATTTTTTTTTTCCATTATGTAGACTTTTATTTTACGGTTTTTCCGGATATTGAAAGAAACAGTATTTTCTTTTTTTTTTGCACTATTTCAGAAGCAGCAATTCTAGTTCCTTAAAATCTTTCTGTAAAATGCAACATCTAATATAGAGAGACCTTGTAATGTGCAAAAAATCAGATATACCAAACGTAATACTACCAGCAGTTGCGTACGGAAGCGAACCACGGACGCTAACAAAAAGAAGTAAATAAATTGCTGGAGTGGGAACGTAAAATCCTTCCAATAATATAATATGGCATTTGTAAAGATAGTGTAACAAACGAAAGGAGACGCAGACATAATAACGCGTTAGTCTCTATATTCAGAAATGGAAATCTAGCTCGATATATCAAGGCTGATAGACTAAGACGGGCTGGATATGTCAAAAGCAGTATTGACAATCGCCTAATGAACTAATCGCTAATGGCCTTTTGGAAAGACCAGATAAGAGAAAATCTGTAGGATGGTCAAGAAAAAGATAAAATGATGCAGTGAGAGAGAATCTGGATAAAATAAAAGTGAAGCAATGGAAAAAAGTGACAAAACCAAAAAACCTGGAAGGCCATAGTAAACGCGGCAAAGACTCACAAAGAGTTGTATTGCTATTGATAATGATGAATTCTAGGACCTAGGATGGTCCTAGTGACATGCCTTACTATTAGATGGTAAGATAAAAATGGTACTTACAGCAAACACCATCTTGGATAACATCACAAGCTTGTATTAAATCATTCCACCATTTACCTTGGGTACATTCCTTTAGCACCTTTTGGTTATGAACATCACATACATAGTATTGTGTACAGTTATATGGATCCGGATAGTACTTGGTTCCATTTTTTATGCAGTCAGGATCTGGTGTTTTGAACTGAGGATATGGTGTACCTTGTAAGACAAATATATTTATTTTTTTTAAAACTAACCTGTTATTTATTATTCAACAAAAGTAACATAGCCACTAGTAATATTATGGAATTTGTTTTTCTCTATTTTTAACTAAATTTTCTTTAAAATTATATTATACTGTGTTATTTTTGTCAACAGTTTTTTAATAAAAATAATTACAATTGAAAGATTAAAGCTATTTTATTTAACCCATTTTCTACCAGAATATCAATAAATATATTTTTTCATAAATATAACTGCAGATGACAATGGAATGAAACTAAATAAACGTAAAAATATGTTTTTATTAATTTTTTGTTATAAACATAAGAAAAAACGCTGTGACCATATGGTCACACAAGGAGGTTACCTATATATACATTATGTATTTACTACTGTGTATGAAAAATTTCAAAACACTCAATTCAAAGTCCTAAATTACATTTTTTACATTGTGTACGCATCACAGAAGAACATCCTTCTCCTGCACACTTACGTCTTTTACCGTTAGGAACTGGAACAACAAGATGGTCAATTTTGTCATATCGTAGATTGTCGGGCACTCTATTCATGGACAGACTATTCTTGCTGATTGAAAGCTTACCAGGACGTCTAGGCGGTACTCCATATTTCCGCATATACATCTGTGCAATTTCTCGGCGGAAAACTATATTTGGTGTTTTTTTTTCTTTCTTCTTCTTATAAAGGACTTCTTATAAAGCACCCACGCGTTATGTAGGCATACGTTAACAAACCAAGTAAAAAGGGGCCAATACCACTTTTTACTTCTGATGCCAATTCTGTATCGTGCCACATCTTCATCCATTCTATCCGTGCCACCCATGAATGTATTATATTTTGCAATAATCAAAGGCCTTTGTATTTTAATAATTTTCATCTGTTTCTTAGAGTATCTCTTGACGTAACTTTAAGGATTTATGCCGTAGCCAGTTAATGCAGCCGTAACTACAGCATTATCCATCCACTTGACCAATATAAATCCGTCAATTTTAGATATAACATAATCAACAGAACCTCTAGTTTTAGTAGCCATTATTTTGTTATCCGGCAAAGGGCAACACTTAGGAACTCTATTTTGTCTTATTGTCCCAGTACAGTCATATCCCCTTAGTTTTAATTCTGCAAGCAAATTGAAACTCGTAAATAGATTATCTATATAAATATTGTAATTTGGCATCTTATTTGGTAGATCGTCAAGCATTTGAAGTAAAGGAGCTGTTGCACTTCCAAATTTTTCTACATAACTGTTATCAGTTGAAATCTGTTTACCTTGATATAACTGAAAATGAATCAAAAAACTGTCTTCAGAATTCAAACACCAAGCTTTATAGCCAAAGCGTATTGGCTTACCTTTGATAAACTGTTTACAGCTATGTTTCACAAAATACTTGATCATTGATTCATCATAATTCATGTGCTGGGTTGGTTGAAAGTACTTAAGACATTTCATTTGCACCTTTTCTATAATGGGGCGTAGTTTCCACATTTTATCAGTCCTTCCAATTTTGCTGTTATCGGCAAAATGAATACATTTCATGATTTGATCAAATCTATTCCTGCGCATAGAATTTTTCACCATGTGTACTACCATGTCATACTGTTGATCCCAATAATATGTTCTGCCCGGTAAGGGATGGTAGCCGGATAAAATTAAAATTCCGAAAAAACATTTTAATTCATCAATGGACAGATTTGGATCTGGAAAATTCTTGAACGCAGCATATTTTTTTGTTTCTTGTAAAATATGTTCAAACATATCGTTGTCAAAAAATAGTTCGAATAGTTGTAATGGACTCATGTCATAAAATTCACAACTTTTAGATTTATTCTCGTTTTTAAATTTTTTATTATGTATCAAATCTCCCTCTATCCATTGCTTGATCTCAGTTTTTTTAGAAATTCTACATTTTTTATTTTTCCCTCGTTTATCGTTCCCTCTGACTCACCTGTTCATCAGATTTTGTTATCTTTATTTCATACACAGAGTTTTCCTCTCCTTGTTCCATATTTTCGTTACGATTTATTCGAATTTCAGGTGGCGCTAATAACTGTCTATGAGACACATTGTCAACTAAACCACCATCGTCTTCGTTCCCGGAATCTTCATCGGTATCCTCATCTCATGAACATCTGGAGGACAAATAAACACCGATGTTTCATCATTTTCTATATTTGCGTCATAATATAACATGGTCAATGCTTCTTGTAATGTAAAACCACGTCTAAAAAGAAAAAACCTATTAATTATCACATATTATCCCTGTGCGACGTTATGGTCACAAACAAATATTAGAAGCTCTACCGCATTTGATACAATACTTTTGTGATAAATTATATGAACATGTCTTAAACACATGTCTCTAGATCCTATGTGTTCAAAAATATTTTTGTTTTCTTTAAAAATAAGATTAAAAAATATTACTTACTCAAAGCGAACGTCCATTTTGATGCTTTCTCGTTGTAACACCAACAAACATCAACTATAACACAACTTTGCCAGCGAATTGATCAGGTACCGGGTATGTCATTCGTTACATAGATGTCTCTAGTCCGCGTGGTCGTATTACTAGTTGCATATATCGCTGTATGTGTTAAATATTGTATATTTAAAAGGGGCCATTTAGTGTGACCATACGGTTACGCTAGCAGAAAACGGGTTAAAGTTTCGACCGTCATGGTCCTAGATCATTTTCATTAAATTTACCTTTTGACTTACCTTTACTTGATACGATGCATATTGTCAATAATGCGAGAAGATCTAAAACTGAAATAAGAAGGTTAGTAGTTACATAATATATTTTTGACTTAGTTCCTTACTTACAATACATTCTTTTTGCTGTTTAGTAATAACCAATGACGCAAATCTAAAAAAATTACGGTAGATTAAAATAAATAACTATAAGATGTAAACTATACGAGGCTTGTTCAACTGAATGCTGTCTTTGGACCAGAAAAAAATTATTGACAAATATATCTACAAATAATATTATTACTACAATTTAGAAACATAAATGCTTTCAATAACGGTAAAAACTTGTTTCGCCTCTCTGGTGGATTGTGCAATTGTATCGACATCGTCAGCAAAGGTAACATTACTTTTCCTGCACTGGCGGTGAAGCTTGTTTTAATTTTGTTGGCCAGTAAGCCAGTTGGTATTGAAATCGCCCAAAGCATAAGAAGTTATGTATATTGTGATTTTTAAATACTTATGTATTGTATAGTATTTTTATATTAATCCCAAAATAAACAATAAATTTTACTGCAGAGTATGTGTAAATTTTTTTTTGAATTCAACTTTTTTATACATATATGAAAATAAAAATATAAATTTTCATTAAAATATTGATTCAATCCTTCATTTACTATACTTAAATTACAAGTCAAATGTTTATATACAGCTAACGATGCACCATATGTATATATACCTATATACCTAATTATTTTTCTCTTTCTGCTCTCTTACCTATAGCATTACATATGCAATGATTGGGCAGATTGACTCCCATATAAATTTGTAGCGGTGAACGCATGTATAGAAGTATAACTTCTACCGGCGGTCCCACTGGACTGTCACACCCGTTTTTTTTTTAGTTATTTCTAATATATGTGTCTTTTATATTAGGGTCTAGGTGTCTTTTCAAACTGCAATAGTACATCATTTTATGTCTAGTTGTAGAAATCAGGTGAGTTATCTCTTTTGGTGTATAAAATTAAACTTTTTATATCATCTTTTACTACCTCAGTACTGCATAAAAGAGTGGTATTTCAGTCTTGTTGTTAACTTCAAAGAAAGTTGTTGAATCTGAATTAATTTTGGTATATGTATCAGTAGCAATCGCCTAATTCTCCTTACCCATTTATCAGAATACAGTTTTCTAGAACAGTGTGTATGTAACATAAGTTCCTTATACGTAGATATAGATACATAAACTATAAACATTGTTCATAGAAATACCTGTCTTCAACAGTCCATTTGTCCATTTCACTGGACTTAAGACACTTTTTGGTGGACTGGTCATATACTAATTATTATTGACGAATATAAATTTTCAAATTCAAATCCAAATTCAAATTCAAATTCAAATTTTAAAACAAAACGGAAACTACCCCAGGTGAGTAGACATTCTCACACTGATTTATCAGTCTTTCCCAAGGATTCTGGGGGGGACACAAATTTGACAAGAGCACGCTTTAAAAAACAAACATGGGACATCGTCGGAGTTAGTGAAGTGAGAAGGCGAGGTGAAGGCCTCGAGACCCTAAAATATAGAAATCCTTTAGACCCCCTAAAGGATAGAAATGGCAACATCACATCAAACAGAGAACATATGTTACAAATTGTGGAATCATTCTATGAGACATTATATAGCAACCAATCGACTCTAGATATAGTCGAATATCAACAGAGGAAGGTCCAAAATCAGGGTTCCGAAGATATTCCAGAAATCTGCTTGGACGAAATTTACAAGGCTCTAAAAAAGATGAAGAATAACAAAGCTCCGGGGGAGGACGGTGTCGTCATGGAAGCGATAAAGTTAGGAGGCTCAGTACTGATAGCCAAAATTCAAAAGCTCTTTAATCTATGCCTATGGAATCAAAGTATCCCAACAAAGTGGAATAATTCAATAACTGTACTCTTACACAAGAAGGGAGATATAGCAGACCTGGAAAGATACAGACCAATCAGTTTCCTTAACCATCTTTATAATATATACACCCGAATAATAACGAATAGATTAGAGACAAAGCTGGATTTTTACCAACCTCGAGAACAAGCTGGTTTTCGCCCTAATTACGTCACAAACGATCACCTGCAGTGCCTAAAAACCCTAATAGAAAAAACTAACGAATATAACCGTCCCTTGGCATTGATATTTGTAGACTTTAAAAAGGCGTTTGATATAGTGGAACTACCGTCCATCTTAAGAGCACTACAAGATTGCAGGATCGACCACAGATATTGTAATATAATTAAAAATATATATGAAAATGCCACAACAACCATAAGTCTATATTCTACAACTAATAAAATAAAAATAAAAAGGGGAGTCAGGCAAGGTGATACCATGTCACCAAATCTGTTCATTACCGTTCTTGAGTATGCATTTAAAAGACTAACATGGCAACAGAAAGGAATATCCATCGATGGAGAAAGATTAAATCATCTACGTTTTGCGGACGATATCGTGCTTCTGTCAGATAATCTGGGAGAGATCAAAGACATGCTCCAAGAACTGAATGACATACTACAAGAAACTGGGCTGGAGATAAATTTTGAGAAAACCAAAATGATGACCAATATGGTTCCCAGCGAAGAGATACAGATCAATAACAACAAGGTAGAATTAATCGATAAATACACATACTTGGGTCATGAAATTAGAATAACCAGAGACAACCAAACCTGCGAGCTAAATAGACGAATCACGTTGGGATGGGCGGCATATGGACGGATAAGAGACATTTTTAAAACAAATATCCCAATTCACCTGAAAAGGAAGGCATTTAACCAATGCATCTTACCAGTCTTGACCTACGGAGCAGAGACCTTAACTTTAACGAAAGCTACTGCCGAAAAACTGAGGGTAACACAAAGGCGAATGGAGAGATCAATGCTGGGCCTGACCTTGAAAGATCGCGTAAGAAATGAGGAGATACGCCGACGAACTAGCGTAGACGATATTATACTGCGAATCAATAAACAAAAGTGGAGGTGGGCTGGACATGTTGCTAGAATGGAAGACGGAAGATGGACGAAGAGATTATTGGAGTGGAGACCAAGAGCCGACAAGCGAAGTCGAGGCAGACCACCCACCCGATGGACCGACGACCTAAAGAGAATAGAAACAAACTGGATTGCAGCAGCTAGAGATAGAGAGAACTGGAGACGTTTGGAGGAGGCCTATATCCAACAATGGATGTGAAAATTCGGCTGGATGATGATGATGATAAATTTTCAAGAGAGGGCACTGAAAATATGAAATCATCCAAGATCTCGGAGGCGAGTAAAGTGGGATTAGTAATCTTGGAAGCAAATATAGCAGGACAAGTCTTATTTTAGGCTTCAGCTCAATTGGAAAGAAGAACTTACGTAATATATTATGAAGGTATTTTTTGGATATTTACTTAACATGTCTTATACATATTGTTTTTATATATATCTATATAAAAAATACCACTTACCTTCAGCGATTTTTTCATTTAAAACAATAAAACAATATCGTAGGAAAACAATGTTAGAAAATATTAAAAAAAATTTTATCGCGCGAGATTATCTGCTTAAATAACAAGTATTAGATTTAAATAACATAAGAATGTTAAGTACAAATTATTCCTAATTCGTATCTACGTCTTAAGTGAACAAAATAATTATTTCAATGAAACGAAAAATTGATTTCATTGGCTTGAAAAATTTATGGGGTGTAATAAAAGAAGGTAGACAGACGGTCGAATATTTCGCAAATTAAACATCGGATCGAAAAACTGAAAAACACTATTTAATATTTACTTTAATATTTACACTTTATTAATAAAACAAAAGCAATGGTTAAATTGTTTAATGACACTATTACTAAATATAATAACAGAAAGTTAACTGTATCTATTCCTATAACACCTAGGCTATACGGACTGCCTAAAATCCATAAACACAATTGTCCCATAAGGCCTGTAGTAAGTTTTTTGTAACACTCCAGTTTCTATTTTATCAGAGTTTATTTACAACACAATTCAGTCTATCACTAATTTTAAACCTAAGTTCTCCATTAAAAATTCTTCAGATCTAATAGAACGTTTAAATAATATTAGGATAGAAGAGGGTTTTTATTTAGTTTATTTTGATGTTTCCAATTTGTTTACTTCTGTACCAAGAGATTAAACATTACCTTTAATACACAACCTTCTAGACAATTGCAACATATCTGCAAAGGATAAAGATGCTATATTAACTATGCTTAAATTCTGTCTGGATCAGGACTTTTTACAATTCAATCAAAAAATATATAAACAACCAACAGGTTTAGCAACGGGATCTCCATTATCACCTCTTCTAGCTGATATTTTCTTAGACAGCTTAGAACAGAAGTTTGTTAATAACAACAACAAAATAGTTTTTTGGTCCAGATATGTGGATGATTGTATAGCTCTCATACAGGGAACCCAAGATGATGCTTTACAGATTCTGGATGATCTCAATAATCTCCATCCTAACATCTCTTTTACTCTGGAACCAGAATCTGACAATAAGTTGAGCTTCTTGGATATGACTATTTCCCGTAATAAAGATTCTTTAGAGTACAACATTTATAGAAAACCCACCCAAACAGATCACGTTATACATGGAACGTCTAATCACCCAACTCAACATAAAATGGCTGCTTTCAACAGTTACATTCATCGGTTACTTAAATCTCCTCTTTTTGATGATAATTTTAATACAGAACTTAATACTCTTAAGCAGATTGCTTTCAATAATGGCTATGATCCTAACATTATATACAAACTTCTAAATAGGGCTAAACTAAAAATTGCAGAAAAGCTTGCATATTCATCACAGTTTTTTCAACCTAATGCTTCAGATAACATCAGATATTTCTCCTTCACTTATATTAGTAGCATTTCCAATAAAATATCTAAACTTTTTACTTCTACAATTGATAACATCAAAATTTTCTTTAAATCACATAACACTTTAGGTTCCTTCTTAATCAGTACCAAAGATAGGATGAATACACTTGATAAAAGTGGTATTTACAAATTAAAATGTGATGATTGTGATGCCTCTTATGTAGGTAGAACCATCAGAAAGTTATCCACTAGAGTCTCTGAACATTTGAAAAGACCAAATTCTTCAAGTTTTGGTCA